CAGCCTTCCCTGACGATCCGCTTAGGTGAAACCTTGGTTTAACTAGGTCTGCTCTGTTCATTGTATTGAGCACTTTATTTAGTTATTTTGGGTACTCGCATCGGGTTTTTTTTCTTTGGGCCTTGAACTCGTATGCTGGATGATTATTTTCAGTTAACGTACATGTTCTTGGTTCTTTCTTTTTTTATGCCTTTTTTCCCCCTTTGGTATTAGCTTGATTATCTGCAAATCAATATACCGAAGATTTTCCAAGTGAGTATAGTTTCTTATACTTATAAGATATTAGGGAACCCAAACTATGTAATATTTCACAGTGTGCTAGACAAAAGAAAAAAAACAAAAAAAAAACAACACATATGAGCAATGTACCATGCCTCACTTAAGTTTTAATTAGACTATATCAATTGCAATGAAAAGTGAAAATAAACTTTTAACCTGTTAATAAAGAATTTTTTAAACCTTTCACTCTGTTTGATACTTAAATAACTTTAAAGGATTTATTTATTTAATTTTTAATGGCATGTAACTATAGTAGTTACTTCAAAGATCAAAAAATGGATGAATGGACAGACAGATGTACACTGCACTTTATTTTTTATATAGAAGATGTCTATAATAAATATGACTTATGGGAGGGGTGATCAAATGTTTTTCAATTCACTTATTTATTTATTTATTTTTTTAAATCAATTTCATACATACTCACACTCAAGCATTCAGTTGAAATTACATCAATGATGGATACTGAATTTTTCAAGGGGATGGGTAACAAATAACTTTAGTTATCACCTTGTTATCTGTTAAGCAGCTTGTTTTGGCTTTACTTATCAAAAATATGAAAATAACCTAATAATGATATAACAATAATAATAGCAAAATTTCTTCAGTGTTGTTTATTATCTGCCTATTTCACATTTTTTTTTTTTTTTTAAATCAATTTCAAGTTGTCCAAACACTTATTCATTTTTGAGCATTTTTTTTTTTTTTTTTGTTTTTCACAATACTCTTTTTTTAAAAAAAAATATTCAATAACTGATAAGTGAGCAGCATGAATTAAATATAGAATTATCTTTCAACAAAATCTGAATATGTCACATATTTTAGTGGGGCCTGTACTAATAGTAGAGCAGCCAATCAATAGAAGAATGTCAGAATATCAAAATATGGATTATTTCCCTTAGTTAATGTTGATTTTTTTTTTCATATGGAAGATAGTTTTTATTTTAAGTGATCAATAAATGTTTAGTTATTTTTACTTTTAAGATTTTAGATTTGAACTTTTTTTTTTTTTAACTATTTCCTGTTTGACTAAAACTTCCACTTTTGGTGAATGTATGTTATATACACTAGTATACACTGTGTGTGTGTGTGGGGGGGGGATGATTCAGATTCAGCAACTTCCCCTTTTAATGAGTCTAATTTACCAGTGTAAATGTGTGCACATACATAATGATAAATATATAAATTCTTATTTTTTTTTATGTAATACTAACATCATATAAAAAAAAAAAATCATTTGTCTCCTTTCCTTACCTTTTTAAAGCTGTTCGAATTTTGAAGACAAATAAGAAATTCAGCTTCAAATGTGATGTTGAACTTTCAAATGAGGTTTAATTCTTTACAATTTTTTTTTAAATACATTTTATGTTTATCTTAATTTAGGGAATGGCTTTAATTTTGGGGGATTAGAGAGAGGACAAAAACCTGTTGAAAGTCTTAAATCTGTTCATATTGCCCAGGTGAAAAAAATTTAATATTTCATATGGTAGCTGACAGAAAATTGTTGGCAACTAAATGACAAATAGCATAAATTCTGTAATAATCATTTAAAAAAAAAAAAAAAAAATGAACTGTCAACATCTGAAGTATTCATAATAACCAATGTCCTCATCTAAACTTGAACATTGTCAATAGTACAGCTGCTTGTTTTGTAATCTTGTTGCTATTGATGCTTCAAAGGTTTTAGTTTCTGACTAAGAGATTCCAACATAAGTTCTGAGGTTTGGTCATTTGAGAATTAAATAAGAGGGTTGAGCCAAGAATTATGCTATTGCTATTTGGAAATATAAAGGTTCTTTTAAATGAAAAAAAAAAAAAAGACAATACAAATAGAATGGAATTGTACACATGAAAAGAAAAGTTTAGTGCATATTAGACATGTGGCTAATGTATGCGGTGAAATTAAATAAATCTGATATTTCTTTTTTCTGACACTTGAAGCAAGAGGTAATTTTCCTTCAAACTTCATTTCACTTGTTCTACATACATGAACCAGATTTAGCAGTTTCTTTTGTTTGTTTTTTTTAATTTAGCTACAAGGCAATAAAATTTTAAGTTCATTAAATTCAGTTTATATTTTGGTAATTCTTTATTCTAAACATGCATACACAGTTCATTCACTAAGTAAAAGTGTGTTAACATCAATATTTGTAGGCCTTATTCATTCTTCCAAATTAGATTGACATTATAATTTTCTTTTGGTCCATTTTAAACCTGAATAATGAACATGAAAATTTAGAATCATGTCCAACAATAATTTCTACTCCATTATGTATGGACAGACTGCCCCCCCCCAAAGATTCAGCACTACTTAGACTATCCTCTCATGAAAAAAAAAAAAAAAAATATGGAAAAATTTGGGGGTAAATAATTAGGCTGCAACATTTATCAGAATTGAGAAATATGGATATTTTAGAGTTTGTCTATATTTCTGAGATGAGGTATTATATGTACAGTATTTACATTAGTCGGACTATTGTCCTCATCTTTGTCGCCATATTTGTCTGAACGTTTATTTCGTTATGGGCTAAAGGCCTTCTTCAGTGGTCAAATTTCCAACTGAACCCTGAAGAAGGATCGGAGCGCATAAGGGTTCAGAAACGTTGTGACAAATTCATGGCGACAAAGATGAGGACAATAGTCCGACTAATGTAAATACTATGGATATTTTATTTATTTTTTTTTTTTAAATCCAATTTAGAAGGGAGATCCTGTTTGTCATATTGATAATGTTAAACTGATCCCTAACTTTTACAAAGCTTTAGCTGATTTGTGTATGAAAATATTTTTTTTCTTTAAGATTATTAAAAAAAAAAAAAAAAATTCTTTTAAATAAAGAATGAACTGTTAAATATGTTTTTAATTAAAGAACAAATCTACATAAATTAATTAAATTATGTATCCATTTATTTTTCATTCAAGATGATTATTAACTGCAAATGTTTGTGTATGGGCTTCTGGAAAAGTCCCATTAAAAAAAAACAAAAAAAAACCCAAAACAAAACGATATTAATGATATCACACTTGCGGCCACTTCACTTTTTCGTTTGTATTTTGTTTATATAGATATTCTTGTCCCTTCAGCACATTGAAAATCTTGCCTCTCTACAATTGCCTGTCTTTTGTAACTCTTAAACTGACTTTTTATCTCTCCTAACTTTGCTCTGCCAGCCATTCTCTCAAGCTTGCTAGGTAGGTTATGCATTGTTTCTTGTTCCTCTTGCTTTCAATCTGTCTAGTGAATATCAATTTTCCAAGCCCTCTTTCCTCATTGTGTCCTAGAAATTTCAACTCTCTTCCTGATAACTGTGTCCTTTTTGTTTCCATTTTCTCTACAACTTCATTGTTACTCACATGTTCAGTTCATGGTATTCTCAGCATCCTCCTGTAGAACCATATATGTCACTTCAAGTCTCTTCACCTGAGATTGTCCTGCAGTCACTGTCATATGAGAATTGATATTACAGTTCAGTAATTTTTGTTTAATACTTTGCTTAGCTTTCAGTGTTGCACTTTCCACATACTAAAATCAAATAACAATTTAAATATCTAATTTGCATGTTTGGCTGTTCCTTTTACTAACAGCGTTTTGTAGTCTTGTAATTATCCTTTCTGTGTCATTTGCATATCTTATGTTGTTAAGATTGTGGCCACCAATAATGAATTCAGGTAGAACTTCTAATTCTCTCAGAATTACCTCACTTTATCTGTTGAATAAGTCCAGTGACAACACACATCTTGTCTCACACCCCTTTCTATCTTTGTATATTTAATGAACTCATGCAGGTGGTTTGCTGCCAGCATGTGCTCTGGATTATTCTAGCTTTCCCAAATATGTAAAGGTTACCTAGCAGTTTTTTGTGACGTACTTTATCAAACAATTTTGCATAATCTATAAAACACAGGTACACATCCTTCTGTAATTTGGATTGCTCTTAATAAAATTATATACAGATTTACTAAGATCACTTTTAACATTTACAACTTTTCAATCATTAACCTTCTACATTTTGACTTGGTTACTACTTAAGAGAACTATCAGACAGTTTATTATCATAGGTAAATGGTTTAACAGTAAACTGGTGGTAGGATTCAATTTTTATTTTAGATTTGCAATCTTTTTCATATTAACAGTACTTTCTGTAGTGAATAAAAGCTCTGGTAAGAAAAAAAAAATCCCCAAAACACATTTCAGGTTATGAATTGGTATTTTAAATATATTCAGTAATGCATTTAGCTCAGTGAAGAAGTTTGCTTTTATGTCATTTCATGTATGCTTGTTGTAGTAGACTTTGTACAACTATAGTACACTTTCGAATAACACTCATGCTATAATACTCACTCAACAACTAACCTGTATAGTGATCTGGGTAGAGGATAGAGTAGAAAGAGAGATAATTGTCAGCTACTTCCTACATTTATGCTTTCCCTCTATGGTAACGTGGTCAACTTAACTCAATGGGATCGCCTGTGTTTGCTCACTGGCGATCTAACTCAGCGACACTTTATTCCTATATAACAACTTTATAGTTGAAAAATATTTACTTGTTTGTGTAAACACACACAAAAAAGTCAGAAATTTAGTGATACAGGCAGATTTTCTTAATTGCAAACTCCATAAAGGGCAAGAACTCTAGGGCTTTAAGGAAATTGTATTCAAGGGAAACAACCTATTATTTATTTTCAAATGTATAAACAATACAAAAGGTAATAAAAGAAATCTACTCAGCACTATTCCACGAACTCATGATAACTTTGCTCCTCACCCCACTGTACTGAGATCCGTGAAAAAAAAAAAAAAAAAAAAATTTGAATATTTTTAACATAAAAATTAGAAAAAAACCTAGAAATTAGAAAAATGTTTTTTTGGCTGCTGGAGCAAGTGACATTAATTACTGTGATTGATAATTTTGGTTTAAATCAGTCTTGTTCCTTGACAAACAACACCCAACTTTTCTTTTTCTGCTTATGTAAAAATTTATTAAAAATGGAGCTTTTTTAACCAAGAAATCACTGTATCTGTTTAATTTTCATTAAATATTTTGTTTGACCCCCCACCCCCACCCAATCTAATCTGTATTTCTGAAGACCAAGACATGTCATATTGGAATGAGTTTATTCCATGCATAGTATACAACAGGAAGTTCAAATTTAAAACTCAAATTCAAAATCAAAATAGTTTTGATCAAAGTAATGCACACGCACATAACCGTCTTCACCTCCACTGCTGAAACTGAAAGAGAAAGAAAAAAATGTTAAACCAAAATCAATAAAAGAATAACTTTGGGGGGTGGGGGTCATCACTCTCTTTCAAATGTTTTCACTGCAGGCTCAGGTGTCATTGGATATAAACACTAACAGAACACCCTTCAAACTTTACAGGACTCTTAGGAAAAAGACAAAGAACTTTCTTTTTTGCCTAGATAAAAAACTAATATTACTTTTTGAAAAACTTATTAGAGCTGAATCCTAAAAAAGATACCTTTTGCCATCAGGGTGGAAAGCAACACTATTGATGGGACCAAAATGGCCTTTGACACGAGCAAATTCTTCTTCGAATATCATGTGGTAGAAACGTGCATCAAATTTTCCCACTCTGGCTGAAGTGGTGGTGACTTCCATGGCTTCCTGGCCACCTCCAAGTACAACCTAAAACAATCCAGAAAGGAAAACAAATTCAATAAACAAACCTGATATTTATTTTGTATAATTTCAATGAAAATTTCTTGATCCAAGAAAACGTTAAAAAAAATAAAGAGGCCAACACTTACATGTTCTTTGAGAGAAGAAAGTGAAGCAGAATTAACGGGACGTTCTGTCCTAAAAGTTTTCATGTGCTGCAGCGAACTAGAATCAAACAACTGAAAAAAAAAAGTTAATAGTATTAAAATTGTTAGTACAACTGATCATATTTAGTTTTTTATTATTATTATTATTCACTAGATCAATTATCTCCCCTTAATCTAAAGAAAACGTATCTAGTCATTACCTAGCGAAATAAAAATACTAAAGGAATTTTTCAAACTTATTTTTTTGAGTAGACCTAAGGTTTAAATTGCATTTTTAAAGAAGCTTTTATTTTAGCTTTAATAACAATTTATTTCCATTACTGGCCGTCCTGGGTATGATGATAAACTACATCTGACAGCAAGACTTCTGTTGAGGAGTGTGGAACCACCTTTTAATTGTTGTTCCCAGGTCCACCTTGACTCGAGTTATGTTCAAAACACGAAAGTATAAACATTTTTATAGCAAAAATACCATCAATACATTTTTGTAAAAGAAATACTAATACACAACAAAAAAATGATATTTCGTCATAAAACGACCTGTAAAAGAGTTGATATGCTGCTAAAACTAACACCAATATAAATTAACTGGAATATGTTTTTTAAATAGCTAAAATCAATCATTGACAAATCTGTCAACACAACATAATTCTCTTTATTTAAAAAAAAATCTTTCAAAAATATGATCTTCCTCAAAATTTCAGAAAAGTAACTGATACTTGACAAATACATAAATGCCGTTTTTATACAATTACAGTAATGTAATATTTTATTGAATTTTAGGTACTCTTGGAGGAAATGTTACAAAATTACCAATGAATTTTAAATTTACTAGTTACTGCTTTTATTTTCTGACAATATAGTACATGGATGTCTTTATATACAAAAATCAGCTTGTTTAAAAACACATAAAAAAAAAAAAAATATTTTTTTTTTAAATAGTCAGGAGGGTCACTGAATTGTAGTATGCTTTTTCCATTTATTATTAGTAAATATAGTTTTTACTTAAGTTTGTCGTTAATATTTAAAACATTTTTTTTGTTTAAGATAAAAGTTCCCATAATATCTTATTCATAAAAGCAATTTTTTTTTTTTTTTTTAGCAAATGTTTGTGGATACCAACTTTTAAGCATTCATAAAGCAGTAAAATCATCAACTAATCAAACCGTAATTTGAATAAAACTTGTTTCTTTTTACCTTGGCAGTGTTGTCCTTTGATGCTGTAACAACCATTGTCTGGTCACGAGATCCTTGGATATCATTAATCGTTTTTTTATGATCACTCACACACAAAACTTGTTCTCCAGTCTGAAAAGATACAATATTTTATACTAAGTGAAGGATTCTCTTTCTCTAACTTAATAAAGTTCATAAGTTATCTTTTTCTTCCTGAAATATTAATAAACTTGTCTTTGTGTTTTTATTTTTAAAGTAGCAAAATGATATTAAATGACAAAGAAACAAAAATAAAATATGCTGCCACTTTCAACTTTTGCCAATAAACTCTGTTGTATTGTGATTGGCTTGGCAGAGAGACACATCTGTGAACATAACAGAAACTACCATAACAGTTGATAGTTTAATGTTTGTCAGTTATTGTAACTTAACTCACTAATTTCCTTTTTCTTTTTAACATCCATAATAAACATAACTAATATGTTGTTTCTCCATTGCAAGGAATAACTAAACCACATATTATGATTTAAATTCAAGATGAACTCTAGTTTTAGGAGGATATTGTCTTCTATGTAGACATGTGGTACTTAAATTAAAGAATGACATTTTAATATAAAGCAATATTGCATTGTTCTTTTAAAACCAAAGAAGCTTCATATTCATGAAGTCTGACAAAAAAAAAAAAAAAAAGTTCATGCCTCTTCGAGAAATCTTAGAATTTACCTTAACATCAAAGTGGCTAAGCTCTCCATTTTCATGACCAGTTATCAGGTATTCATCATAAGGACCCCAAATACCACAGGTCACTTTCGACTCATTCACTTCTATCAGTCTTGCAGGTTTACCATTTTCTACAAATAAAATGAAAATTTAAACAGGACTGTTAACCAGACAGACTATTTATTTATTTGTATGTTAAGCTCACTAAATTCTCGTGACTTGTCAATAAAAACTTAAGCTTTTTTTTTTTTAATAAAAATCTTGAATATCTGTAGGTTATTACATATTTTAATACTCATGTGAGCAAACCGAGAAACTGGTTACAGTAGAGGGACAAGTTCAGTAAATTTCAATTTTCCATTTTTGTTTCAAAATCATAAAAACGTGAAAAACAGAGACTTGTGTGTAAACAGTAAAATATACAGCATAAGCATCTTTTTATATTTATTTTTTTTTGTGCTTCAGCAATTTCCGATGGACCACAAGCATGTCATTCCAAGTCCAATCTACAGTGTATTGACAAAAACCGAAAAATAATTTATCATGATAAAAAGCTTGCTTTTCTGCACCCACCAAGTTTGTTAGCTTTTCGTCTACTCATCGTGAAAGATAATCAAGCAGTATTTAAAAATTTAATTACTAAACAACTTTTATTTTACTACCTTTGACAGCACGTGCCACGCTATTCATATGCTAACATCACACATGGGTATTTGTCCTGTGGTGACTGGTTTGGTCAGGTTAATATCATGATTTAAGTTATGCTGCTTGCACAGTACTGGAAAACGCCCCATGTTATTTATAGAATGACATGCTGCATCAATATAGGTTGTAGTGCTTGCCACATAAATGTCTGACTTCAATTTGTATTGCGAATTTATGCAAAATAATGATTCTGTCAAGTTCCAGCTCAGAAATTTTGTTTTACCATTGGAATATTTTATTCTTTTAGTAGCAAAAATCACAGGAAATATGATTTTCCGTTTTATTTCAATGTTTTTTTTTCTGCATCATGGAGAACTTGCCACTCTATAATACAGAGTGTGGGAGAAATACCTCCCACACAATAGTAAGAAGTATTTCAGGGAAGATTTCTGCTGTTCCCTGTATAATTTGCTTAAAAATCTAACTAACTTCCAATAAAAGACGTGAGCAGGGTATAGTAAAAGAAATTTTTAAAAAAAAAAAAAAAAAAAATACAATATCAAAGATTGAACCCCCCCTCTGAAATATTTTATTAAAAAAAAAAAAAAAAAATGCATCTACTCACTGATTTGACTGTGATCCCGAATGTCATAAATATAAATCGCACATTGGTGGCCCATAGTAGTATCTGTTGAGAACATAATCAACTGTCCACTGTAAGAGAAACCGTTGGTTCTTACGGCTGTGCTGGTGGGTATACTGACTAATTGTGTACCTGAAATAAGAATACAAATATAAAGTTAGTTTTTTGGGGGTTTTTTTTCCATCAAGCAAATTTTACAGGTATGTTGAAAAAGAAGTCTTATAGGCTAATTATATTTCCATTTATCCTGATTCTAGCAAATTTACCAAACAGAATAAATTGTAAATATTTATAGACTGACAATAAAAATTGCTTTCTAAATAATTATGAAGTTAAGCAGTAAACATATATATATATTAGTGAATTAACAAGTTGCCAGTTTATCTTGGAAGAAAGATAATCTGATCAAAGAGTTTACACACAAATTACAAAAATTATACAAATGCAGGTGATTTCATATGCAAATCTATTTTTTTTTTTAATGTACACAGCTTAATGGTATTTTTTATCTGTCATTCCAAGTAAGAGGTGGCTAATGAATGTAAGAACTGCAAATCCAATCACTGCTTTTATATATATATATATATATATATATATATATATATATATACACAATCTGGCCTGCCTCAGCTCAAATAAGATGAGGACTTTTCAAAAAGTGAGACACACATTTCACTATGACTATTTTTCCAACAAATATTCTCATTTGAACAGCTTCATAAGGAAATGCATCAGATAAAAAAATACAGGTAACTTAATTGGAAGAAAAAAAACAAAAAAAAAAAAAACAGCAATTGTAATTGAGGCTTTTCATTCCTAGCTTGTTAAGAGCAACTATTTTCATTCATTAAAAATATCAATGACTTTCAACAATTTCAGGTGCACCTTCTTGTTTTAATAACCAAAGAAATGTTCCTGTTTGATCAACAAAATAACCGAAACAATTGATATGAAGCAACAAGATTTATAAATACTATTTTTAATTTAAAGTATTGATAAATGCTTGTAACATTTAAATATGCAAGTAATTGATAGGAACAAAGTATATAATGTCATTAAGAGTGTGTGTGTGTGTGTTTTTTTTTGGGGGGGGGGGTCTGCTTTAAATATATAATTCTTTCCTAACGTTACCAATTTCAGGACTTATTCTTTCCTAGTAGAGTCAAACTGTGTACATTTGAAAATATCAAACCATGTTAATAATAATAATAATAATAATAATAAAAAGTATCACATTACCTTTTTCACAATTCCATAAACGGCAAGTATTATCAGCAGATCCAGTCAGAATATTTTGTGTGTCCCCTTTAAGTTTGTTAAGGAAAACAGAGGAAGAAAAATATTTTAAAGTTTTCATTTAAACCTGTCATTTTCAATGGAGACTATGGTAAATTTGACAGACTGAAAGCTGTAAGAAAGGTTGCCAAATAGTGACCATGGTAAAATAAGACAAGCAATGAGAAGCCTTTCCCTTAATATATTTGGTTCAGTGTGAATTCAGCAAGGTAATTTCATTGACAAGATCCAGGAATGGAATGGATATTACAATGAAAGGCACCAATTGGCTGTCTAATTTACAACAAAAGTATCAAACTCAAGGATTATATCAGGTCTGATAATTTCATACATTTTTTTTTCTTCTTTTTTTTAAATTTTGTCCAGAATGTTTGAAGATTTTAGCTTTTTTAGTGCTTAGTAATGAACAAATTTCTGTTTATTCCTTAATGTTGCATCCCTATTTGACAGAAGTCCTTGGAAACTGAGTTTTTAAGAGCAACATATGCAAAAAAAAAAAAAACAAAAAAAAAACTGAAGAATATTATTAATATTACTCGAATCAAAAGAAAAAGCAAATAATGGCCAACCATTAATATATACATACATGAAAAACATTGAAAGAATTAGGAAAAAAGTTTTCAGAAATGTTTGCATAAGGTTTTCTTCAGGTGTATAATTACTGAATGATGTACTCTGGCCAAAATTGTATCTGTTGATACAATTTGCTAAGTGATTTACAATGTGACTATTACTATTATTTATATATGGACTGTTATCATCTTTAGTGTTGTCGCAACCTTTTGGACTGTGTCTTCTGGCCTTCATCAAATGTATGTCAATCCAGGTAACCTCCAGAGAAATCCAGACTGAACCCTTTATTTAATCTACAAGGGTAGATCGTGCTCATTCCAATGGACATGTCTAGGGATGTCTCATCTAGTTTTTATTTAGTATCACCCAGTTATTGCTGACCCAATCTTCACCGATACTCTCTCATTTTTTTCTTTCCAGTCAAAATTAACCAAGCTAATTTAGGACATGATTCTTAACCAAGATCAAAATCTGTGAAATATGAAGTGTTGTAAGGTATTATGTTGTTCATTCAAACAATTATAAACAGGGATACACTTACATATATACATGGACAAATCACTTGCCATTCTTTTACAGTGATTACTTCATATAATAGAAGCCACAGAAGTTATCTCATCACTAAAGAGTTCACCTGGCAAAAAATAACTATTTTAAACTGGAACAAAATGTTCTTCAGTTGTAAAAGCGGGGTCAAATTTACAATACTGATACTATGCAAATATTTCCATACAACAGTTAGAGAGTAAACAATTTTAGAAAAAAACAAAAAGACAAACAACTCTTCAACCTATTAATAATGGATTAAATAAGTTAAATGTGATACAGGATAAAGAATGAGATGGAATAAGGCTAGTGATTGTCTTACCACAGATCAATAGAAATTATAAAACTGACAGGAGATAAAATAAGGAAATCCTATTTAAGCAGAACAGAAGAGACAGAGTTCCAACTGGGAGGGTCAGAGGCACAACCATTAAGGGCTAAGCTTGTAATCCATGCCTCTACATATTGTTTACTCATTTTAAGAATAACAAGTCTCTCTCAGTCAATACAAAGAATAAGCCAGATATTTTTCTGTACACTAGATTTGCCATGGTGTTCCAATAAGGATAGAAGATGGATTACAGTTAAGATTCTCTGAGCTTTTTTTTTTTTTGCTTTTTTTAATCCATGTCCCTGCTGTACCTGTACTCTAAGAAATTGATTTCTGCAAAGAAAACCTAATATTACCAAAAGCTACAAGAGTAGTTCAAATTCAGCAAACATGGCAGAAGGATACAGTCCACATCAATACACCACACAGCGCCATTGTGTCCACGGTAACTTCCTAAACGTTCACCATTTAAGGAGAACCAGACATTTGGGGTTGAGTCTTTGGCACAGGAAAAAATAAGATCGCCTTCACGACTATATTTAATTTGGGTGATGGACCTTTCATGTCCATGGAGCATAATAGGCTTCTGTAATTAAAAAAAAAAAAAAAAAAAGTTAATACAGTTTATATATTTCACTGATACATAATGTTACTATTCGAGATAAATATACATACACACACACACACATTATTCAATGTTAGCAATAGTATCATTCTAAAGTTTTGTTAACAATATTTACAAAAATGAGTTCAATCTTTATTTCATTTGATAAAAACAAACAAATAATACTGCAACATAAATGAATAAAGATGAAAATTAAATCCAGACTAAGATTATAATAGATATTATCTATCTGATGTTGCAAAAATAAATTCAAACAACTATATTAATATATTTAGCATAGAAATAAAGAAACTATTATTTCTGATATTATTTGCATGATGGGAACATAATGTTGGAATTAACTAAATTATTTCAAAAACCGTAAATAGATCTTCAGTCATACAATTATAATTTTAGTTTTTCAATCGATAATTAAATGTTTTCATTTCTATTTAAAAAAAAAAATAGAACAGCTTTAAGATTTCTATTAAAATGAACAAAGTTTGAATAAAACTGAAATTTGTTAATTAATTGCTTGTTAACCATTACACAATAATTAAGTCCTAATTAAGATTTTTTTTAATGAAATTTCTTTTACTCAACTAAATTGAAAATGGGCATTTTCTTATTTCATTTCTTTTAGTCAAGGATGAATGTGGGATAAGACACATTAAGAAGAAAATGGAAAAGAAAGAGGAAAATTAAAACAGAAGGTATCAAGTTCATAATGCCAAAGAAAAGCAATGCCTAAGGTTTAAAAAGATTTCTAAAAAAAATTAAAAATCTTTCTTGAAGTTTTTATTTTACTTTTATTTTCAAGCAAATAGATTGAAATGAATATTTACAACAAACAAAATACTTTGCTGTATTTCAAAACGAATCGAAATTGAAGTTAAAAAAACAAAAAGGAAATTAAATGAAAATACAATTATACTAAATTATAATTATTCAAAATATCTATGTTTGAAATACATATGTGGTCTTGCTTTGAGAGAGCCAATGCTAATTTACCTAGAACTAATAACGAGTTTTTTTAAAGGGCTTTTTTGCAACAAGTGGCATCCTATCATCCTACAATTTAGAAATTCTTAGACGCTCTTAAAAAGAGAATAGGACTTGCAAGAAATCTATTTTGTAAGAATATGTTGCCAAAATATCAAGAGCACCAAATAATACCGCAACATAAATGGAAAACAAATTAGTGGCATCCTTTAACAAATACACTTCAGTAATTGACTATTTGTGCACAGTGTATCACATAACTTAAGGTGATAAGCAATTTTTCTTACTAAATTGTTTTAACAATATTTGTGTTTCAAATAATTATCAGGTGTATTTTGTCTTAATTTTTATTGCAATAAAAAATTTGGCATTTCAAATAATTATCATATGATTTTCTTATTGATTAATTTTCATTAAAAACAAATGTTTTTAAACAATGTTCACTTAATCATATCTAAAAGTCAACGCAACAAAGTTCTTTTTATTAAAAAATCTTTGAAAAATAAAATTAAATTTTATTTGGAGAATATTAGCCGATTTAAAATTTAATTAACCCAATTTGAAACAAATATTACTTTTAGTTTAAAATGTTGCAGCAAATCATTTTTTTTTTTAATAAAATGGGGTGGGTGGGTGTTTTTATGAGGTGTCAAGAACTATCTTGAGAGACTTATGTTTGGAAATTTTTTTTCTACAAGGTGTGTGTGTATATATATATATATATATATATATATATATATTTTAACTACCCAGTAATCTTAAAAATGTAGGAAAATATTGAATTTTATGAAAACTTAAAAATTCAACTTTGAGTAATTTTGTTAAAAGCAGAAAACTTTGAAAAATATAAATCATTTTATTTATTATTTTTTTTTTTTTTGTAAATTTTAACCTCCAAATTTCATCACTGAATTGCATCTATGGCAGAAATAAAGTAAGGGACAGGATTGCCATATCAAGCTTTAAAGTGAAGCAATAAAACCCAAATAAGTTTTAATATATTTCATCTTTTTTTTTTTTCTCTCCACACAATGGCTAGAGATCCAGGTCATTATTAGCCTGCAAAATTTTTATAAATAACATTCTTTTATTTTAAAGGCACATTTTCTATTCTATCATCCTTCTCGTCTACATTTTTGATTTTAATTTAATTCTCAAACTTCTTACTTTTAGGCAACAATTTAGACAAACGTACTTTTCACAGATACAGATTGACACGGACGTGTAAAAAATGATCTATTTTCTTCAGCATGAATTCACCCACTGCTGACTAGAGATCAAAAAGATTTTTTGCTTTTGAAATTGACATGTGAATAACATTTCTTCAATTGTTAAAATTTTTAAAAAAACCCACAAATTTTTTTGTGATTCTGCTATTACTATAAAATAATTTATTTTCCTTTCAATTACAAATTCAATGAGTGTGAATTAATTTATCTTTGAAGGAGATATTTGTCTCTGACGTCTTTAACTTTGCTTTTCCTCCTTTCTTGTTGAGTAAGAGTATCAGCTAGAAGACACGCCTTCATGTTATTTCTCGACAAGGAAATACAGAACTAATTACGAGGTCATGAACTTGGTCTAATCAAGGAAACAAACCACTGTTCATAATTGGAAAAAAAAAAAAAAAAAAAAAAACTTTCCTTAAAAGGACAATTTTACCTTGTAAAAAAAAAAAAAAAAAAGCCAGATATCTGAGATTTGCCCTTTTGACTTTCATGAATTGCGAAAAAGGATGGGCAGCCCAATTTAGAAAATTCCAGGACTTTTCCAGCCATGTGAATTTTCCAAGACTTTAAGGTTTCCAGAACCTGTAAGAACCCCAGATAACATGTATGGATGTCCATATTTACAAAAATCAGCACACTTCAATTGTTGGAGGGGACCTAAGGGCAGAAGAAACATAACCTCCTCTAGGATGATCTGTTGGCAGTAGCACTCAGGAATCTTGTCATTGTCATGTTTGTCCACTCTCTGATGTCTGACCCGCTCATGTTGTCATCCCTGCTTGTGTCTGCTTTGCATGATGTCTTGCAGAGGCTGTTATGCTGTGTGATGTGACCAAACCATGCTATCCTCTGACACTTAATAGTGGAAGGATTCCTGTCAGCCCACTTTTGAGCTTGCTCCATACAGTCATTGGTTTTGTTTGACCAGTAGGAGATGCAGAGAGCATTTATTCTTGAATGCCTGGATCTTTTTTCCTATCTCAACCAAGAGTGTCCCTGAGTTTCAAACCTGTAGAGAAGGATGGATACAACCAACCAGTTGTAGAGCTTGAACTCAGTCTGGAAGGTGATGTTGCTCTTCCATATCCTTTCCAGTCTGGTGCTGTGGCAATCCATGTGCAGATTTCTGCATTGCAGATGCCATTTTTTAACATGGTTGCTCCCAAGTATTTGAAGCTAGACACTACAGTGGCTTACTATCTATGGTAACAATGACACTGTTGTTGCTTGTGCTATTCACCATTTGTTTGTACATCTCTGTTGATTTCCATTCCATGTGTGGTGGCTCTTTCAGTGAATGGTTAGGTCTTGCAGTTCAAGGTTACTGACTGCCATAAGGCCAATATTGTCTACGAAACACAGATTACAGACAGGTCTACCACTGATAAAAATAAAAGTAATAGTGAATAGCACAAGCAACAACAGTATGGACTCTTCTATAGTGAATCCCCTGAAAACATGCCAAAATAGGGCAGGTCAATTTCGGAACCATAGTATTACACTGAATTTGAAAGTGGAATAAATAATGACAATATTTTTATCAAAATCATTACCGTTTTTAGTGGAAATGGGGTTAGAGATTAAGTTTAAGTTCAAAATTGGTGCATTGGAATTTCACTGTTCTGGAACTTTCCTCAATGGGTATTATTTAAGCTTTCATCATTATAAATATTTGCCCTCGAACACTATTCATTTGTGTATGTAATTAATTAGTTCTTTTATATTTTTATACAAGACTTAATTATTTGAAACAGAAAGTAAACATTTAGTTTAATCTACATAATTTTGTATCTTCAAAGTGACTATCATTTATTTAAAATGTGTTTGTTTATTTCTGTGGAAGAAACTGTTCCCATTTAGGTAGGTACCTCCACGAAATCGCTAAAAAAAGAGCATAGCTTGATGAAAAAGACGCCAACCTTGCCGAAAACAAAATTTTATTGTCTAAATGCTTATGTTATTATTTAGAGGAAAGACCAAAGTTTTTTTTTAATTATTTTTAAAAATTTTCCTTCTTTTTAGAAAATTCTAAATTTTGATTAAAAAAACCTTGTTTCTATTTGTATCAGCGGAACTAGTAAATAACATAGACAATTTTTAGCACGTTTTTTTGGTATGACACACATTAATTTGAAAAATCGTGCAAAAATAGAAATAATTATCGGATGTTAATGAAACTTTCAGGAACTATTCACAGATGATCGAAATTATTATAAATATGTTTTTTTTTATGAAAGTCATGGTAGAAATATTTTTTAAAAATATTTATTACCCCCCCTAACTAATTTTATGAAAACGCTAGAAATTCGATCGCATCGGTTTTAGTGATTACAATAATTAAAAGCACAGGGCTTTGAGGAATGCAAATCATGTTTTTTTTGTTTTTAATTGGATACCCAATACCTGAAAATCAGCTCTGAATTGTAACATACAAAACTCAATAAAACAAAGATATTATTTAATTTCAAATGCTTTTATTTGCTTTTAGTTGTTTTTATGAATATGGACAATATTTTCTGAAAGCAAAAAAAATTTTTCGATGAAAAATGAATTTTAATACAATTATTTGTTATTTCATTAATTATAATAGATTTTACATTTAAGTTGTTAAAATATTATAAAATTAGATAAAAGCCAAGACAGGCTTTCATAAGTGTCCTTATGAGAGATAGATCTTTTTTTATGCGTTGTAAATTGTATCATTTTGACTAATCAGAAGAACCCCAGTAATTAAGAAATGTAATTTTGTGC